TTACGTTTATATTTTACTACTCTGTAATCTTCCTTCATTCCTTTTCTTTTATCTATCCTTCATAGTTTGTCCTTGCCTTAAATAATTTGCTGTCTCATCCTGAAGTTTGTCTTCCCTAATTTTCCATGTGGCAATATATATATAAAACGAAAGAATTTAAGCACGAATGTTTCTTTTATATACAATACAAATGTCTCGAACAAATATTTATATGTAATTCTACTGTTTTATAAGCTTATAAGTTCATAGTTTGCTTAAATACCATTTCTAAGATTCTACCTTTCAGTGTAACATATATAAGCAGAATGATCCAATACAACATTAGAGCTCTAAAGAAGCGGTCTGGTAGATTAAATTGGCGACACCGCTGGGAGGGTTCACCACTGATGAGCTAATCCCTCCCAATTTTTTTTTTTTTTTTTTTATCGCAGTGAAGACAGAAGTTTGTAATGTTTATAAAATAAATATCCGTGTTTAAATGCTTCCATTCCTTTATATATATATTTTTCTTTTTTTTCTTTTATTATTTATTCACATATATATAAATATATATCCTCTCTGGTCAGGATATGCAATTTTTCTTTTTAATATCAACACCTGACCTTTTTATTTTATTTTTTTCTTTCATTTTTTCATGTGTTAAGCGTATTTACGCAAGTTTGGCCTTTAATACCCATTTCTTGGTTTTTCAAGAAGCCTCTGGGACCAAATATCATTTTGGTCGCAGTGATACAGCCTAATCCACGCTGACGAGCGCCAAAAGCGCGAAACGCATTCGTGGATGGCTTTTCTTGATTTTTCAAGAAATTAGGTTGGCCAAATATCAAGGAACAGGCTAAATCAATGTTTAGTTGATTTCTGTTCCACCAGATAGCACTCTGCCTTCTGTAAATCACATGTGCTCCTGGTCAAGATATGCCATTTTTATTTTTAATATATATATATAAACCACGCACAGGATTATTATCAAAAACAACAAAAGCCTTTATTGAGGACCTCTCGTTCTATAAAGGATTCGCCAATTTACAAAGTAATTGAAAAGAACTAAGAATACAGAGATATATGTAGTAGGTATAGTATAGTATTTTCTACACTGTGACTATATACAACAGCAGCAACAAGCCTTTTACTGAAATCAAAGTCCCATGCAGGCACAGGATTATTATCATAAATGATAATAGGTTTCAGCACACACACAAAAGTCTTTATTAAGATAGAATCATATATGGATTCACCACAGAATCTACCAAGGAAAAAGTAAAAAAGCGATTGTTATTTACATATAATGATAATAATTAATTATAGGACAATAACACGCCATCTATATATAAGAAAAGGAAATATCTAAGCACACAAGTTTCTTTTACACACAAAATAGATCCTTATAGAGATAATGGGATAGTTAAGTTAGGACGGTTACACAGGTAACGTTTATGGCTTTCATAATGGTCGTTTATATTATAGCAAATGTAACGTCATACAAATATCATAGTGAAGACATATTGTATATGCCCACTTCCGCCTGAGAGGACCTACGTCACCACTACGTCACGGCCAGCCAATCACCGAGCTGCCCCATCCTCCCTCCCCCTTTTTAGTCATAATAAAGATAACTTTCCTGTTGTTCGCTTCGCCTCCGCGTGCTTCAATAGATCCACTTCAATCGGCAGATGTAGTGGGATAATTGACTACTTCCTTATACTATTACATCATCTAGTCCAGCTTCAATTTATAGCCCAACACATAGTTATTTGGTATTTATGTTATAAAAACAAATGATATTTGATTTTCTGCTTCAATTTTAAATCATGTTGAGGATTATGGTAATGCAGTCGTGGTTAAAATCTTGAAAGTATAATTACAAAAATAGTTTTGATAAGAGATTGTTTTAATTGAGCTTTAGGATTATATAATAAAAATAATTTGGTAAAAGTACTGCCTGGCTTAAGGCGAGTAGAATAAGGAAAACAAAAGCTTATTTACATAATGTACAAAAGTTTTGAGCCGGCCATTGGGATAAAATAACAACGAGTTTTTATAGGGGAAGAGTGACCTCTGGCGATCGATTTAGCAAAGTATTTGAATCTATAAAAATATGATTTTAAATAAAATAATATTTTTATATAACATATATATATATCATTGTAGAACGACATTTGAAAATTATCCCGAAAAAAAATCGATTTTTCGTTCAAAAGAAACACAGGCAGGATAATTTTCAAATGTCGTTCTACAATAATAAGCCGCATTATATTGTATTATAAATTACTTTATATAATATTTACGAAGGGAAAAATACGTCCAGGGTAGCTTAGTGGACATGGCATCTGCCCGGTAAGCGGAACACTGTGGGTTCGATTCCTATCCCTGGACACTTTTATTTTTTCGTTTATTAATACTCTTCAAAATTCATCCTTTCATACTTCATTCCTAAGGATAGAAATAATAGTTATTTCTCCTTGAAATAAATTTCGATTTTTCGTTCAAAAGAAACACATGCGGGATAATTTTCAAATGTCGTTCTACAATCATAAGCCGCATTATATTGTATTATAAATTGAAATACCATTGTATAGTACTAGTATGTTTTCGGTATAGTGGATAGATATTTTATAGAGACACACAGATCCATTCTAAAAACTCTCTAGAATGCTTCTAGAGGAACTGTCATTTCTAAGATTTCTTCGCCATTCTGTAATTCGATGAGAATGAATCTTCTTTCTCTGGCATCTTATTTCATTCTCACAGATTTAGAATTCAAACTCTTTACATAGAATTACTTATGGTTGGACCTTTTAAACCGATCTGTTGTAATATAGTCAAGCCCTCCCAATATTTCTTTCATCACAGTAAAGACAGTAGAAGTTTGATTTATTTGTGAAAAGAAACATTCACGTTTTAATGTCTTCATTCGTTATATATAGATGAAACGTTATTGCTTTGTATTAATATAGGACTTGTACACACTTTTGAGACCGTTGGTTTTCGACCACTACGACCCGGGTTCGATTCCCGCATTGGGCACTTTTTTTTTCTAATTAAGAAAAAAAATGCTTCAATGGCCCCCGATTCTTGCAAAAATCTAACTCAACCAGCGAATGCAAGTAATCAAACAGGGCTTTGCCACATTTGTAAGTGTAAAGTCGAACTGCTTTTCACATGTGTAGACATGTGGTGCACTTACAGTAAAAGCAGTAACCAACTTCTACCCACCATGGTTATCATGGCCTGTATCACGTGTACTAAGAAGAAGAAGAATATACAATATATTGGAACAGAATAACTCAAACAGTTTCGAGACAAGAAGAATATGCATCAAGGCTGCATCTTCTAATAAGATCTTCAAACTCTACCGATGAATATTTTCAAAATGCTTTTAAATATTGAGAAAATTGATTCCGGATGGGGGGGGGGGGGGGGGGGGGGGGGGGGGGGCGGGGGGGTAGTGGTGAAGTAAGCAATAGAGAACTGAACGGTCTATCAACTTTCATGAAACAAAGATCATAACAATAATAACTAATACAACCATTAACCTTCCACATTGATTCTTATGTTTATTTAGGATCATTGATAAATGGCAATGAATTCTGGCTAGAAGAATGGCGTATTAGGCAGAGCAGCAATAAATGCTTCCTTACCTAGTTAGAAAAATATAAACCTATCCACAGCGCTACCAAATAAATTCGGTGAGTGAACCACTCCATCTCATAACCCTAGTCTAGGGGTTGGCAAACCTTTAAGTCGAAAGAGTAAACAATTAGAATTTACAAAATTTCAAAGTTCTTAAAGCGCCACAACATTTCTTTCTTGCCAAAAATAAATAGTACTCACATAAATAATATTTACGTATGGAACTATATAAAGAACCTCAGCTTCACATCCAAAGAGCCGCATTTGGCTTGGGAGCCGCAGTTTGCCGACCTCTGACTTATTCACACACACAAAGCCGTTATTAAGACACCAGTCAGAGTCTCCACTCTCATTGCCGGCTTACAACGATATCCCCACAACCACCATCATGTAGTGGAGGAACTTACTGTAAAAGTTATATAGGGACAACCATTGATATGGAGCTGGTACATTGTACTGAGGTAAGTTGGCTGTCGTCTCTCTTTCTTCCTTAATATACTGGCACTCAAAGATGTCCTGCCCAGAAGTCCAACTCCTCCTCTACGTGGTGGGCGGGAGAAGCAGCACAAGTAAGTAAGGGACTGCTCCGTAGGGTGAAGTACGTTGGGGATTTCGTAAGTCCCGAGCCGTTACGGTAACCGTGAAAGCCTACAGGGAACTCTGAAATGTGGCTGACTAACGGGGCAATGGCACTCCCCTCTTTCCATAGAGCAACAAAATCATCCTTGCAACCCTCTATATGGCAGACATCAATCCAGAAGAGGACATCTATACGAACAAGGCATCTTTGTTGTACGGTATTTTGATCAGGGTGCATGTACCGATCTGATCTGCTCCATGGACAAGACACCACCACCAACTCAAAGATGCAATGAGATATTTCAATTTCGATTTTTTTTCTTTGCAAAGATGGCTTACTGTATCCTCCTTACTGAAGATTTTGGATCATAGCCCATGTCATCCATTACTGTGGTTATTTTATATCACAAGAGGAATATTTGGGGAAAAGAGGGAGAAAGAAGGGGCAATCTAACGTTCTTCAACGGGCTGTTCTCCTAAAAAAAGAGGGAAAGAAAGAAGCACACACACACACACACACAGACGAGGAGACAAATTAAACAAATTATCAAAATGACCCTGGAAAAATCTGGCCGGAACGATAGAGAGGTCAGTAATTTCCAGTAATGGAAGAAAATCGAATTAACTACTTTTTGAGTAAAACGACACTTGAAGTTACACCGCATGAGTTTCTTTTCAACAAAAAAATAAATATTTTATTTCAAGGTGAAATATCGACTATTTCTATCCTTTTTAGATGAGGTATGAAAGGGTGAATTATGAAGAGTAATGACGAACGGAAAAATAAAAGTGTTCAGGGATGGGAATCGAACCCACAATGTTCCGCTTACCGGGCAGATGCCATGTCCACTAGGCTACCCTGGACGGATCTTTTATTTTTCCGTTCGTCATTACTCTTCATAATTCACCCTTTCATACCTCATCCGAAAAGGATAGAAATAGTTGATATTTCACCTTGAAATAAAATACTTATTTTTCGTTGAAAAGAAACTCATGCGGTGTAGCTTCAAGTGTCGTTTTACAATCACAGGCCGCAGTGTATTATATTGTATTATAAGTTACTTAATGTATATATTCTACAATTATTTTAGAACACAGAAGAACACACATATAGCGAATTGGTTTCATAACCAAATCTTTTGACGGAAAACTTCTCTCACCTCCACCAGTAACTAACAATAAAATATAATTCTACTTTCCTAAAAGCTTATATCCATAGTTTACTTAAATACCATTTCTAAGATTCCACCCTTCAGTGCAGCGTATCTATGCAGAATGATTCAATACAGTATTATAACTCTAAAGAAGCGGTCTGGTAGATTAAATTAACGAAACAGCTGGGAGGATTCACCACTGATGAACTAAGCCTTCCTAATACAGAAATCCCTCGTTATCACGAACTCGTATTATACGAACTCTCGGTTTGCGCGAACCGTTTCTTTTTCCCGTTAAATTTCAATGCTTTCCAAAGAGATTTTGCCGGTTAAGACGAAATATTCGGTTATGACGAAATACGAATTAAATTTAGCCCCCAGCAGAAATAATCAATCGGTTAAAACGAATTATAATATGTTTTTAAAGGCGAGTAATAAGTAAAACAATAAACTATTAAAACAACAAAAACGCCGTTGATATAAAGTATTGGCTCTCTTTGTCTTTTGTGTAAACATTCGTCCTTTGTTTGTTATGATGACTCATTTTCTATGAAACCATCCCCTTGGGGTCGTTCCATGTACTCAATCAGTGGAAAATTTCGACTCTATTGTGCCAGTATTGCTGTTTTTCTCGACTGATAAATGTAGGGGCCATGGTGACCCCTGCCAGCCAGCAGCCAAGGAGCGCACGCTTTCACGGAATTTCACAGAATATTATATTATTCTTATTTTTATACAAAACATATATTTAAAAATATTAAATATAATATAAATAATGAAAATATATTCTGTGAATAATAATCTGTGTAAATCGAGCTCTCAGAAGAAAAAGGACTTATTTCTATTTGTTATATCTCTCTTTTTTATAACCGACTAATTGATTGTATTATAAAATAATGCGCTTGAAATAAAAATTATTAAATTCTAAATAATCGAAGTGTGAATTGTTTGAGCTTCCATAAAAAAACCTACATAAACGTCATCTAAACCGCGAAAAAAAAGCGCCATTGATCTGGATGAAGGGTTGGAAATTTGCGGTTCACCCGAATTAGAATAAAAGAAGAAAGAAGAAGAAGAAACAGAAGACGTTGAGGTGAAAGAAGAGATAATGATGCCTACTAGAGGGGAAGTAATCGCGGCCCTCGAAACCCTCCAGAAGCTGTCCAAAACCTCTGCGGATATTGATGTTCATTTTGAAGATGACCTGGATAAAATAAGAAGGGAGTGTCTGAAACAGTGCCCAATCAAATACCACCAAAAAACTATATCAGACTTTCTGAAGCCTGCAGAGAAAACCCAGATATAGGATACTCTATGCATACTGCATATGCTGCATACACATAAACATTGTATGTACCAAGTATATTATGTAAGTTGTTTCTTTTGTTGTTCTTTTTTATTTGTGTTTTAAAATAAACTTATATTCTCATGTTATTGCCTTACATTGTGATTATATTATCCATATTGTCTTTTAAAATAAAATACTTTATGTACATACATATACATAATTGTTGTTCCTTAAAATTATAAAATATTTTCATTAATATTGTTTTCAAATAAATTTATTCGTTATTCCTCAGAAATGTAGTTTTCTTACTCATCAGTAGTACATAAGTACAACCCCCGGATACCACGAATTCAATTCGTCTAATACGAATTCGGTTTATACGAATTCGGTATATATTCTTTTAAGACGAAAAGGGTTTTTCGTTCTCCAGTTGAGTTCGTCTTAACGAGGGATTACTGTAAATATTTTTCATTGCAGTAAGGACAGTAGAAGTTTGTTTTATGTTTAAAAGAAACTTGGGTGCTTGTGTTTTTAATTATATATAGATGTCGCGTTGCTGCATTAAAACATGTAATGTAGAAATCTCTATCACAGCAATGTTTTCTATCTTGAGAGTGTAAAGTTACTGTTATGGGTCCATGTCAATTTTCTGCAAGGCTGTGGCCATTGCTGGACATGGGCTGACATATTTTCTATATTATACTCATATCGTGTTAGTATATTGTAGCGATGTATTTATTAATTTTATTATTTTCATTAACAGAGTGGTCATTTTTATGTTTATATCTTACTACTCTGTAAATTTCCCTCGTGGCTTATCTTTTGTATACCATTCTTAGTTTGTTCTTGCCTTGAATAAATTGTTGTCTCCTCCTGAAGTTTTTGTTTTCCCTAATTCTCCACGTGCCAATATTTCCAAATGAAAACAATGTGATTAATACCTTTTTACTTTATACTCACTGATAGATATATGTGGTAACCGAGGGTCAAACCTGTAGTAGCCGAGAGGGACAGTCAGGGCGTGGAGAGTTTTCCAGTACCTCTCTGCACTTTGGAAGACCTTTAACAGTTTTCACAGAGTACAGGCAGTCGTGGTCGAGGCAGAGTGGAAAGCTTGGGAATGTCCACACATAAAAAACGAGGAGACACAGTTGTAGTAGGAAAGTTCCATGAACAGATAGGAGTCGAGCTAAGAGCAAGATGGAGTTAGAAAAAGTTCTTACTGTTTTACATAGCGATGGGGTGGTCCTGGCTGCAACCAACAAGGGCACACGCCGACGGTGAAGTGACTGACTATGTCGGGCTAAAACCGAGGTTTTTATATACCATTCCCGAGGAGAGGGGGGGGGGGGGGGGGGGGGGAGATGTGAGAATTTGGACTTGAACGTCTGCACCCTTTGACCTTGATGGCAACGGCTGCCAAATTCTTTTTTAAGGTTGTCGGATTTCTCTCTCGATTTTAGACGTTTTTGAACTTCTCAATCTTGCTTTAACTCAGCTCTTAATCTATTACATGGTTTTATTTATTCATCCTCAGTTTGTACAAAGTACATTACATATGGTGATGCAATGACACATGTCAATCATGCATATAATTATTTATAGATGTGTTTCTATATACAACATGACAATCTTGTTATAGGTAGTATACAATATAGGGTTGTTGGTTTAAATTACCATATATATATATTTAAGTTGTAAATAATAAAAATGTAAAATTATAAGATTTTAAATACTAATTATGACTATTTCTCTCTACTATCTAGCTCTTGAGGTAGGTAACACCAGCCATCACATCGACCTGCCCACTCTGTGGGAAAGAATTCTCGCAGTCCATCGGTGACGGAGTCTTTCCTGTGGTGGACGCCACTAATGAAGACCTTGTATATATTTTTATATATAAATTTATCAATTATTATAAATATTTACGTATATTTATTCATATATTTATCATCATTTAATCTTATTTATTCAAATTTATATTTAACATTATATGACCTTATATCAACTATGTAATAATAAAGAGGTTTGAATCTCTCTCTCTCTCTCAATTGTATCTTTGATTTATACATTTTCATAATTATAGTGACATTCTGAATTGTAAATATATCACATTTAACTTCCCAGTATTCAAGTAGCATCAAGAATGGATGCCGTTTGAAGCCGGCATCTTACAGTGGCGAAGAGTCCGCTCCAACTTTGAGAGGTTGGGAGGGGCAATATACAGACGGGGTCATAGCGATTACTAGTGCTTGTGGGGAAAAGTAGGACGTTTTTGATTGTAGTTTTCCAGGCTCTTCGGTAAATAACGAGAATTTTCCATGACGTTGGCAATCTTCCTATTATGGTCAGGATGAAATGTAAGGTTCTATCTCATCACGATTCAAGAAACCACAGGCTACTCTCCATTTTTCCTGTTCTTTGGGAGGGAGCCCATATCCCTCTTAAACGACAAGAATGTTTCGATGGACTGTAACATGGGCGATTACGACGAATATTGTTGCACCAAGTTGCACCTTTGCAGGGTCGTCGACCTTGGTTTCTTCCTTCTTGGTGTTATACATGTTTCCCGAGCGGGTTTCCATACTCAAAGCAAATAAATAAAAGTAAATAAAAATAAATTACCTTTTAAAGTTATTGCGTTTATTTATTCGTTGTCTTCCTCGTAGGTCGTGATCCGCAATCTTGGTCTAGGTCCTCTCTCGCTCCAATAACCAATCAAGATATATGTACAATAACAATATTAGAAAAAGAATGAACTTATAAAACGGAATGATGATAATCTAAATAATTTGTTTAAAATAAATATTAAATATCATAGAATATTTTGAATAAATGTAGGACGAATTGATGCAACAATATATAGAGAATTACTTAGATAAAATTGCAAGGACGAGACAAGTAGACGTTAACAACACAGAGAAGACCCAAGAGAGAATAGTATGTAACAGATATTACTAACTATGCGAAAATAATGAAAGTGTAGCAGACATGATGCACATGTTCACTTCATATAGCTTACGTTTAGAGTTGAAATAGACCTATCTATTAAAGAGTCTATCAAATTAAATTTCAATAAGTATCATGTTTCTGCTATCAAAAAAAAAAAGATTTCTTTCGAGCTAAAATTTCATCAACGAGAGACAATTTCTTTATATTGTGGCGAAGAAATATAATTTATTATTTAATTTAATTATTCAATGAAAATATTTGAAACAGATTTATTATTTTATATTTGTAAAATCATCATTTAGTTACCTAGCTTGCTTGCTCGATATTCTCTAGCTGTAGATAGTTTGGTTGGTAATTGTCGACTGGTCGTGGTGACGTCATCAATAAATACTTTCACATCTTCAGATACACAAAGACTTGATTTCTATGCTACAATATAATAAGGTAAAAAAGTCCTTATAAATATATAT